TACTTTGAATCATAGTAAACTTTACTCTGATTCAAAATAAAATTTTACTCTAAAATACACTGTGAAGATGGCTTAATAAGAGAGTTAATAGATATGAGGGTAATATAGTAAAAGAAACAAGCTTTAAAATATTAGGGGGTTTTGAAAGTACTTATATAATTCTTGTCCTTTTGAAAGACAAATTAGATAGTGAAGGAGCTATCACCAAATCCCCCTAACTTAAGCTGCACCAAACACAATATTTTAGCTTAAATTAAGCTAAAAACTAAAATAAGCAGCTTATAAGCTTTACCAAACAGGCCTGATATTCAGTTTGAAGGTGATTCAAGTGACATTGTCAAGGCTATTCAGTCGGTGGCGCTTCTCTCTCATCGTATGGGCATTTCGTCTCTAATAGTAGTGGTGATAAGCCATTTTAGGCAATTGTTGATTTCCCATGTGCATCGAGAAGGAAACTCAATGGCCCATTGTCTAGCTCGAATGGCAATAGAGTTGAATAATTTTTGAACATGGATTAAGAAATGCCCGTCATTGCTTAACATATTGACTGCTAAGGAGGCCTCTGTCTTTCCTAACCTGTTTTAGAGTTTACTCCCATCCGAAAAAAGAAAAAAAAAATACTAAGGTCATGTTTGTTTTGCCGCTTCAACGGTCAGATTGGGCTAAGGTAGTTGTGGGTCTCACCCACAGCGTGTTTAGTGATGATTTGGGATGGCGGCTTAATAGTGCGAACAGTTTAGTAATCCCCCACAGTAGAGAGATTAGCTTGGCTAGGTAAAGCGTGGGATTAGGAAAATATTGAACGGGTTGATTCTATCCGGTCATCTTCCCCGGATGTCTACCCGAACGTTTGGAACATTTTTTTTTAATACCATCGCAACATGTTATTTTAAAAAAATAAAAATTTATATTTGTTTTAGATATTTTTTAAATATAGAAATTATTTTTTAAAGATTTTTCTATAAAAATAATTTAACAATCCATCACTAACCATCTCCCACACTATATCATCAAAACAAACACACTTTCACTTAATTTCCTCACTGACAATTCACACATTAAGATCATGTTTGTTTACCTGTGTAGGTGGCTGGATTGGATTGCTATGGTTGTAGATCCCACTCACAACGTGTTTGGTGATGATTTGGGATGGGGGATTGATAGTGTGAGGGACTTAGTAATCCCCCTCAGTAGAAGGATTAACTTAGCTGTGTTTTGGATGGGATTAGAAAAATAGTGAGTGAAGTGAGTCTATTTTATATAATTTTTTTTACCAAATGCACCTATTTATTTTAATATTTGTTTTATTTTTTTAATATAAAAATAATTTATTTATTTATTTTATATAAAAATAATTTAACAATTTCATCACTATACATTTGTCACACTATTATCAAAGCAAATATACGAACCCTCATCTCACTAACAATCACATTCAAACTAATCTGCCAAACAAATGTGGTTTAATAATCTCTTCATCAATCATCATCTCATTAATAATCTAATCCAATTTAATTTGCCAAATAGAAGTGGCCTAAGGGATTACATATTTCTGATTTTTTTTTTTTCAAAATTAAAGTACAATTGATTATAATTTTTTGGTAAATTACACTGATACCCCTTAAGGTTCCATCACTAAACATCTCACACTATTATCAGAACAAAAATATTTTTACTTAATCCCTTTACTAACAATTCACAACTCAACAATATATTTACTACCCTCATCTCACTAACAATCACATCCAATCTAATTTTTAGGTAAATTACACTGATACCCCCTAAGGTTTTTGTTTAATACAGATTCCCCCACATTTAAAAAATTACACTTATTCTCTGTCAAATTAAAATGACATATTTACCCCCTTTATATATATAAAATAATAAAATAATAAATATATTTTGTTCATATCATTTCAAAGAAAATAACAATTATCCTCTTTAATTTAACTCACACAAAAAATTAATTCTTTTTATTTTTCATACTTTTTATTTATTTATTATTTTTTTAATATTTTAAACAATTTTTTTATTTTTATTTTTTAAATACGCCTAATCTAAATATGTATAATATTTTGTGATTTTTTTTTTTTAAAATCACCAAATACAAAATTATACATTTCCATCTTTTCCGAATCCTGCGTTTCAGGCTGGCTACTGCCAAGTATTTTGCATACAACAATACATAAAATTATACGTTCCATCTTTTCTGCACATTGGGCTGCCAAGCATTCTCCACTTAGCACACTACAGGGGGCATGCATGAATAAAGGTGGGAAAGTAAACTGTTCTTTGAATTAAGAACATTGGATAGATAACCCTGCTAGCTAGTATAGCGTGTTATTTTTGGCCAAAAAAATCTTTGTCAACTGGTCATAACGGGATTTCAAACAACCTAAGTTCACAAATTTTAGAAGTTATCTACAAAAACATACGGAAGACCATCAAACCATAATAAGCATTATCAATATGTCAAAAGAACAAAAACTCACATAATTGTAGGTGTTGATATTTAACATACAAGTCACTCTTCATAAATCAACTGTTACCACTGCAAAATCCTTGACCTTCCAAAATGGAAGTATTCCACATGAAAAAACAAAAGCTTTAGTCATCACAAGAAGTTCTCAGCTGCAATGCAATACAGAAAAAAAAAAAAATTAAAAAAAAATAAGATGAGAAAGGAACTTCTGAAACGAGTTAATCACAAAACAAACAAGCAGCTAGCAATCAGCAACCAAAATCAACAGTGATTTAGACCCCCTCAAACTTCAACCCCCCCCACACACACGTGACGGGTGGTGATTGGAGGAGGAGACAAAAGAAAAAGAAAAAGAAAAAGTGACCAATTAAAAAAGAAAGGGGGCCAAAAGGGAGTGGGGGAAAAGGGGTCCCAATCTTTATTCTATGACTAAATGTACATTTTGAGCATTAAAATTATTTGCTGGTGCATTTTAATATTTAAATGTATGTACATAGTCATTCATGAGATGCATTGATCACCTACATATTCCAACATTGAAGATAGAGCAATCCTCTGTGCACAGAAAATGCCTAGAATATTCAATGTATGGTCCAGATTCTTTTAAGATGTGTGTTTCACCATACATGAGTCAATTTCAACAACACATTATCTTTATCAACATGTTTGTTTTGGGATTTGAGGGGAGGGGATCAAAAATTTTAATCTGTGGAGCTTACAAATATCATGTATGTTTTGGAAAAGTGTCCATAGGACTCTGAAGCCCCACCAATGAGGGATTAGCAATCCCTTGGAGGACTTGAGTTTGGGAATCTAATCCCATGGGATTAGATGTAAAAAGATTTTATTGCCCCTACTTAATAAAAATATAAAGTTAACATTATTATATAAGAGTGTTTTTACATAATTTCATAGATTTAATCCCAACTAATTAATACTTCCACACAAGTGCACAAACAAGCACAATTTATCTTCCAACCTAATACCACCACACTGTATTCCACTCACTCAATCCCACCATACCAATAATTCCATCCAACCTAATGCGGCAAACAAACGTGGCCTATGGTTATATTTCTATGTGTGGATAAGCTATCCATCTATTCATTTTCTAGGCATTGAATTTAACCTATTAATGCAGGTAACTCTTCATTTACCAGAAGAATCAGTGAATTTGATGCATTAATACATATAACTCATGTATTGATTCTTAATTGGGTCATTAATGGGCGCTGAGGTCTATAAAGACCCCTCTACCTACATCAACCCCTAATGTATATCGTATATAGTATTGTAAGCATTTATCAACAATATGATTAAGAGTGGAAGGTCAAGGTTCAAGAAGTGGCCAAGACAATTGGAGTTGAGCCAAGTGAAAGGGAAGAAGTGAAAAAGAAAAAAGGTAAGGAAGTGTTTATGCTCCGAGGGTGATCTTATTTCTATCCATCCTCCTCCATCAAATGTGTTGATGTTCTTAGCTTTTGTGTAGATAATAAGGTGTCTTTTTGTGCAGATCCTAAGAGTCCGTCTAATGCTCTCCTTTGGAAGTGATTATCCCCTCAAAGAGAGTGAAATGGGGGGTAATCCAAATGATGAAGTTTCAAAGGAAGATAAAGAAATTGAAGGAGATGTGAGTAATCTAAATGGGCTATAGCTCTTCGACAATCTTCACATCCCAAAGGGGCTTCATAGACCCTCTCAGATGGAAAATTTGTTGTTCCACGGACAAACCTATCTTCAAGAAGTGAGAACAAGAAGAAGCTCCTCGAGAGAATTGCAAATATTAAGCTTGATAAAGAGAATGCTAACCTCTCTATCAAGTCTAAGAAATCTAGTTATAACACTTATATAAGATATTAGGCATTGTCCTCTAGCTTTGCATGTTGTTTGTTGCCTTGGCCTAGCTCTTGCGCTGTGAGTTTTTTATTTTTACTTTTGTTTTTGTAGTGGTAGGCCTTTGCTTTGTATGCTCTACTTTGATGCCTTGCTCGACCATCTTGTCCCTTTTGGGAGTGTATCAAGCCTCACTATAACATTTTATTTTTTTGGTATATCTAAACCGCTTACCTACCCATTTTTTATTTTTTTTATTTTTAATAAGAAAACCAAACTTGAATTCAACTCTTGAGAGTTTTCAAGCCTAAGGAAGGCATTAATATGGTGGAGATTTGGACTACCCACTTGTGCATGGTTAGTTTGAATCATATGACGAATGGTCGGACTGTTGTATCCTAGGAGACATGAACCAAAATGGAATGATCTAATGCACCAGTCAGAAGGCTTTGCCAATCACAGAGGCCGACTTGAATCTCCTTAACTGAGATTATCACGCCATAGTCCATTATCCACTATTATTTAATAGTGGATTTGCATAAAAGAAGTGTGGAGTGCATAAGCCAGGCCCCCTTAGAGAGAGCGGCAAGTACTGCATGAGCTTGTAAGGCAAGTATGAAACGAGCCTTGTCTAACAAAGCCGAGCGACAAAGAAAATGGCTCAATGGGAACCATTCGGATATATGGTTTAGCTGGCTGATCTTATCAACCCCGTCATAGGTGAGCCTCTATAAGGAGGTTCAGACGTAAGCTGAGTTAGCCAAATCACCTAAAAATTTGGTATCTTTTTGTGGTTGATGTTTGGCTCTTTATTTATACATTTGGAAATCATAATCAAAAGATTCAAAGGTTGAAGCCAACACTCAAGAAGCTCAATAGAAATATGTAGATCTCAAACTAGTCCTTTTGGTACAACAAGAGAAAAGACCTTGATCACATCCTTCTGTGTAGAGGAGGAAGCTTTAAGGCCAATTTATATCCTTGCTATAAAGAGGTATGAATCCATCATTGAGTTAAAACTATTAATTTACTGCTAATCTCATTTACCCATGATTATCTTTCAATATTTGTTCTATTGAAGACATAAAAAATGAAATATTTGTCACAATAGGGAAAACCCAATTTAAAAGAAGAAGAACCAAGGTCACCCTTCATAAATTGTTTGTGCCAAGAGTGGGCATATTGCTCAACTTTAGTGGCGACTCTAGAAATATTGCTAAGAGCTTTGATTGAAATTTATGCAGAAAAAATAAAATAACGACACCTACCAATATCTATCAGCTACTTTCAACAAATAAATAAATATATGAAATTCCACAATTACTCTTGACAAGTCATACAACTCATACCTAGTCTTTATAGAGGTTGAAGTTAGGATGAATTTTTTTGTGATTGCCATGGATGATTTAAAAAAGTACCACTTGCAAGAAAGTGTGCTTAACATAGTCATGGAACTTAAACGTGATGCTATAAACCACAAGCATATGGTAATAGGTGGGCATGTCATGAAAGTCTGTTTCAAACTAGGTGATGAAGCTAATGAATATAGCAATGGAAACATTAATTTGCTTATCCAAAAGAGCCATGAATATAAATTTCTCAAAAAACCTTTCACAAGTCTCTGAAAGAGTTTGTGGACATGGTTAAACGTTGTTCAAACTTGAACACACCATTTCTTCTCCCATCTAGATTGACTGCAATTCCATCCTGACCCTGCTCAGGAAAAACAGTCAATACCAACCTCCGAAATTATTATGGCCTACCATGGTTTTAAGGGTTTCTATGAAATTTGGTTTCAGAAAAATCCCCAACCTTAGTTTGATACTAAAGAAGAGGGAGTTCTAAGCCTATTTTGGCCTAGGCAAATCAAGAATTTATTGTGCACAATTGAATATCTTCACAACAAGAAGGTGTTTCATGGAAGGTTAAACTGTGTGTCCAACTATGTTATGGTTGGGGATGAAATTCATCTCATCAATCCTAGAATAGATGCATCAAAAGTGCCAGATCGTGACCTAGACAACTTAACCCGTACAGATATCTTGGCATTTAAGGATTTTTTGGTCAACCACATGGCTTCAAATTACCCTGCCAATGACTTGAATGGCGTCACTGATTGGCCTTACTTCCTGGACCTATTTGATTTTGGAAGGTCAGTTCCTCAAATTGGTTATAATTACATTATGTTTTTGCTTTGCAATATGGTTATTTTAAACTTGTTATCTCGAATTGTAAGCAGGATAGAATTTGCAAATGGTAAGTATGTCTTGGAAATTTAATCTGGACTCTAGATCAACATGGGAATATTAACCAGATTCTATCTTGGCAAAAGAGGATTCAATTGCTTAAGCAAGATTTTCTAAATTCTGTAAATTTATTGTCGTAAATTTCAATTTGCAATTCTAATTGTACTTACATGGTTGAAAATTAGATGGTGGATTGGCTAGGATGATTTTAGTTATTTGGCTATTAGGACTGGGTTCAATTGCCATGTTATTGTATTTGCCATACATCTATGCATAAACTTACAATATCTTTTCAAGTTAATTTGCTATTATTGTTGATTGCTTTATCGTTACCTTATTATATGAATTTGCTATTTGCTTATGTGGGATTCTTGGAAATTGAACTATTATATGGGTGATTTATTCGTTAAAATTTGTGAGATATGAGCTAGTTGACGATATTAAAATTTGATCTTCCCTGTTAAATTTGCCAAAATGCTCTCCTGTGATGTTCACTTGCTCTCAACTTCAACAAACTCTTCTCTACTTGGCATACACCATAAGTTTCTATTATTTTCTAATTGATCACTTGCATTTTCTTGAAGTTCTTGATTAGCTTATTTGAGTAGTGATCATATACCTGTTTAGAAGGGATCATATACTCGTTTAAGGGCCGGCAATTGTGAATGTTATTTAGAATTCCACAAAGGGGTTATAGCATTTCATAGGGTTTCTTATTTTTTTTTAATTCTATTACTTTCTATCACTCTTGTAGGATTAGGCAGCTTAAAAAACAGCCTGTCCTTATGGATAGGTGTGAGAGATTTCAGTACTATCAAGATTGGTCTGATTATTTCAAATGTTCAACTGCAACAGCACATGATCGAATGAATGTTTGGGACGAAACGGATAAACATATGCCAATTCTTTTGAAACATTCGGATGCTTTAATTGAGGAAGATTCAATTTAATATGAGGTTTATACTTCCAACCAAACAAAACCCTATGAAATCCCATCCATTGAGTACCTTCAACGGTTCATACGAAATGTAATTAAACATTTTAAGGAACATGAATCAAACGTGGTCTTT